ACACACACACACACACACACACACACACACACACACACGGACGCACACACGCACACTGATGTAAACCCCGAAGTCTAACACTGCCCAAATGAAAGAAATATATTTAGATGGTTTGGTCACACACAAAGAATGAATGAACATCTCTTTAATCTCTTATTAACACCTTTTCTTTTATTGAACTTTGAATAACACTGCTTATCCTTTTCTCCCCCCCCCCCAAAAAAAACCCACCAGTGTGATTGACGGATGGATGGAATAATAACCTCTAATTACCAATATGGAGTTAACTGTTATGTAATCCGGTGATAACACCGTTCTCTGCCATTATCTCAGGGAAGCAAGAGAAGCATTTGTCATGACTCAGAAAGAACAGGGAAATCTGAAGTTTGTTTAAATGGGAGTTTTATTTGCAGAAACAATCACATAAAAGAACAAGTTCAAAAAAATAGCTGGCACCTAGGAAACTGCCAAAACGGGAGGAGGGGTGGTGTTTCTTGAAAGGGATAATGAATGAATAACTCCACTGGTTTTCAATTCCCAATGGTTAGGCCTTGTCCCTCTCCTACCTTCCCCATCATCTGAGCCCCACCGCAGGCCTTCAGCATTTGCCCCCCCCCCCCGGAGGTCTTCTCCTGCCTCGCCACCTGAACCCACCAGCCGACCCTCCCCAGCTCTCCCTCTCCCCCGCCTTCCAGAGTCCAGCTGCACCTGCCCCAGGGAGCACCTGTCGCCTTACCTGGCCTGCCTTACTGGTGTAGTTGAACGAGTACAGCCGCTCCGTGCCTCGGTTGACCGTCCCGTTCAAGACGTGGTCGAACTGCGCGGCGTGTTCCGCGGAGGCAGGGCGAAGGCTACTCGGCGGCTGCAGTAGCTGCTTCTGAGCTCCGGCCACGGCCAGCAGGAGCCCGGCCAGCCCTGCCCAGCCGCTCATCTCCGCCGCAGTGGAAGAGGCTGCCGAAAGGAGAGCGACCGGGGCGAGTTCCGCGAGCCCAGGGCCTGGCCGCCCTCTGTTTACTCGCTACCTCGCTGCCTTCCAGCCGCGGCCGGCCGCTCGCCGCGCCCGGGGCTTCCCACGCCCTCCTTCCTTGCCACCTGGCTCATTTCAGAGGGACATCCGCAGTGGGTCGAGGCGTGGTCAGTGGATCTTCTCCTCTGGGTGGCGAAGCGAGGCCGGCTTTCTCCGGACTTCGGAAGGATGACGCCGATCGATCTCCCTGGACTCAACTTTAAAGACAAACCCGCCGAGGCTCCCGGTGGCTGCTGTCTCGGCTTCGCATCCAGCCTGGGATCGCAGGCGCGGAGTCCTCGGTCCTCTAGAAAGGAAGGAAGAGAAACGGGCAGGTGAAGCGCTTGCCTGCCTGCCTGCCTTCCTTGGTGGAACGCGGATGATCTACCGGTCGAACTTGCCCAGGAAGTGAGCTGCTTCTGCCGCCGCTGCTTCCCTGCTGCCGTCCACCCTCGGCCCCCGAATGTCTGTCTCAAGCGAGGGAGCGTAACTCGTCATTGACCGGGATCTCTGCGCCCCCTCCCCGCGCTGTACCTGGTGTTTGCGATGTTCTGTTCGGCGCGGGGGGGGGGGCGGGGAGCGGGACGGGACCGAATCCCGTGCCTTTTTCACAGGAAAGCTCCTAAGTGCGTTAGTTCAATCTTGTCCGTGTATCTTGTCCACATTCCTGCTTCTTTGCCTTTTGTAAGCAATGCTTCCGACAGGGTTCGTTTTGAATAGCAAAGTTTATACTTGCAGTTACCCCACTTTCGCTTCTAGGTAAGCTGATTTGAGATGTCGGTCTAGGGAGAGCCCTTAGTGAACCGTGCAGACTTTATTTTTTCCTTATTTATATTTCATATTTCTTAACCACCCATCTCCCTGGAACTCCTGTGAGATGTTGGACCAGTCCCTTCTACCTCAAAGAGTTGTAGATGAGGCAGTGCTAGATGTGTCACTGTCAGTTCCTAGAGCAAAGGCAGAATATAAATTGTAACAACAACAACAATAATAGTGGGGGCAGGGAGGAGAGGTTCGAGTCCACCCTAAGTAATGGAAAATTTCTGGCTGAGTTTGATCCGGTCAGTGTCTGAGTTTGTTCACCATGGTTATCTGTAATTTACTCCAAACTTCTGAGTTTTCACAACACACTGCTAGGGTTACATATTATCTAAGCTCCAGTATGTTTGTAGGTTTGAAGTTCAGTGTTTCTTGTGAACACAGCCACCTCTCCCTATGTCACATGTTTGTTTGAGGGTAGATGAAATAGGGAGAGGAGAACATATGCACATGTTGGTGTGGATGTGGGGACAGAAATCGATAAAATGAGCCAAGCGTTAGAGCAGTGTTTCTCAACCTTGGCAAATTGAAGATGTCCGGACTTCAACTCCCAGAATTCTCCAGCCAGCATTCGCTTCAAGTTGCCAAGGTTGAGAAACACTGTGTTAGAGGTTATTGGGGGGTGGGGGAGCAAGATCCTGCAAAGCAAAGCTACCTAAATTTCATTTGGTATCTCTACCCCACCCCCTCCCCTTCCTGTAAAACCTTAAGAACAAAGAACAGATGAGGGTACTATAATGAATACAGATTTTGGGCCAATTACCACTCCTGCATGCTTACACAGGAACAAAAGGAGAAGAGAAAAAAAGACTGTGAAAAAACATAATTGTTATTTTCAGGTATCTGAAGGTGGTTATTCAGAAGACTGAGAAGAATTATTGAATTTTGTTTCAGAAGACAAGAAGCAACAGGTCTAAATTATGAAGAAGCTGGTTTTGCCTGGGCATCGAGAAAAATTTCCTAGAATTAGAGCAGTTCAGCAATGGAATAGATTCCAGAGTTGGAAGCTGATGGACTTTCTGACACTGGAAAGTAGTTAGTAATTTGGCAAGGATGGTGTAATGCAGGATGTTTTGCATTGGACCAGGATCAGACTAGACATCCTCTAATGTCCCTCCCAACCTATTTATTCAATTCCAAGATTAGGTGCTTCCCAGGGCAGTTTAAATCTGGCCTAAACCCCAGTAGGAATAATTTTAAATAATCAGTTTGCCCACTTATGCTACCAGCATTATGATTTTACTTTTCTAAAGGACATTAGGAAATGGTCACTAGATATTTAGGAACCCCATGAAGACCTCTTCTTCTGAAAGCTGTCAATAATGCTCCATTTAGCAGAGTAGGAATTTTCTTTCAAATAATTATTTATGGACTGCACAATCCAAGAGGTCATTTGCTGTTTGAGGCAGGACAACAGTGTCCTACCCTGCATTCAGATGAGCATTCAGCTGAGCTGGTGGATTCTTCAAAACATCAGAAGGCAGCATAAATGGGGAAAAGGCGGAAGAAGCCACGAAGCAGCTTTGTCTTCCTGCCTGCTGTTTCCTTATTGACTGCCGTTTATGTGTCTGTCGCCTACTCAGGGGAGCAGCTGCCAGTGTGCTGCCCGTCTCTGGCTTGGGGGCAGAAAGCAGACCCCTTGCTCCATAAGGGAAAGCAGATGTCACATCACCCACTCTGCCAGCTGCTATACACAAACATCACCATTGCTGAGGAAATGGGTGAATAATGACCTTGGTGAAGTCACGGCTGTGTCTTTTACTGCCTGATAATGGATAGACCTTCCTTTCCCCCCCTTCAATAAAACCCCAACAAGATGAATTCAGTATTGTACTCTACAAGCCTTGAGATGGAAAAGCAATTCTCGTTCCAACATGGCTCTGTGTGGGCAATCTTTTCCAATAGTTACAACTAACTGTATATTTGAGTGGTTGCCACTCAAGTTATGAAATAGCCACCAACATATTACAGAGATTGTGAAAACAGATTTCTGTATTGTAGCGAGGCAACCAGCTAAATTCAAAACTCCTACCTGTAACAGAGCAGAGGGTTTTTAGCCTCCCACCGCTTGCTGTTTTCGTTCACCAGAAGTGGGGAAAAGATTGCATAGGTGCAGGGAAGTATTCAAAAATAAGGTCTTCTGCCTTCTACTAACAGTCTCCTGTGACTTCAGAACCTCCTTTTCTCTGGAAAGGCTCTTGCTTTCCCTACCCCTTTGGGAAGTGGGGAGGAGGGGTTGTTTAACATAGAGTTTCTCAACTTCAACAGTTTTAAGATGTGTGGATGCAGGGGAATTCTGAGAGCTGAACATCTTAGTTGCTGAGGTCGAGAAACCCTGGTTTAACAGCAAAATTTAGCCTGTCTTCATCATCACCAATGCTTTGCCTCTCTTAACATCAAATTGGCCACTGCATGATAGGCGTTTCAGACAGCAAAGGCAAAGCCACTCTGGAGGGCTTTGATGGCTAACAGTTGTCATTATAAATTGCAGTATTGTATCTGAAGTAATTCATGTATGGTTAGAGTCAGGCTATGTTTATTTTATTAGTTTTTTTAGTGTTTTTTTTAGTGTTTTTTTTTTTTTTTAGTTTTATTTGTCATTTATAGGCCGCCCTTTTCCCTGAGGGGACTCAGGGCGGCTTACAATTCGTGGGAAGGAGTGCAAGACAAAACATAAAATATGTGAATAAAATAAAA